CCCTTTCTGTGCTTTACTGTGCTCAGCACGTTCGCATGACACTGAGATAGAATATGTCTGTGATAAAGCTGTGGGCAGGATCTCTTATTTCAAACACTGAGAACTACAGACAAAGGCCCACCTCATTTCAACACCTCAGTGTGTCCTGTCAGAAGGTATCATGGTCTTCCTGGGTGATGCTCAGGAGTAAGAGCTGTAAGATAGCAGATGGCCAAGCAGGGCTCAGAGTTGGTGCCAGTAGGAACGAGAGAGAGGAAGCAGGCTGTGTTCCACTGGGAGGGTGCATAGCAAAACACAGCAAAGATGTAAAAGCACATTTTCTTGTTGGGATTTCTGAAAGGAAACAGCCAGTTTGTCTACCTGCATCACAAGGTGAATCTGGTCCAGTATGGATGCAAGTCTTGCATCAGTATAGCAGGATGTATTTTCTCTGTGCTGTTGCCTGTCAAGTAACTGCAGTACATTCGTCTGTGCCAGTTCTGCTGGGGCTTCTTCCACCTTTTCTTTTTGCCTTTTCTTTTCTTACCTGTTTCTTACATGCTAACCCAAGACTGTTGCAAAACAGGCAGAAAAAGTGAAGTACTGTAGATATGCTTGAGCAAAACTGTACAGACTCCTTCACCTTGACCAGCAGTCATACATCACACCTCCTACATAACACGAGGGCCATGTGGAGGGCTGCTTTGCACTCCTGTGGTGTTTACCACTGCTTTCCCATTCACACGAGGAAGTTGTGGGAAAGTCATGGTACACACCGCAAGATCTTGAAAGAGTTCTCCTGTGGCTAGAGTTGTAAATGCCCCACTGAAATATTTTTACAGATGGAGAATTCTTTTGAAATAAATAGAAAAATTTCCCAGGGTGAAAATTTTCTTTTAAAGCTTTTGGAATGCCTCCATTTATTTCAGACTTGTTGGACTGTTGAGGATCCCTTGACAGCTGTGGGTTCTGGAAAGTATCTCCTTGACTGCTTGCCCAAGACCCCCCTTTTTCCCAGTAGCCATGGACCTCACTCCATCTTGAAAATGCTTATGGGAGTATGGGATCTGGAGTGTGTTCGAAACTGATGAGATAAAGAAAAACAACTATAAAACTTCATGCTATAAACACTTGTGAGACTAGTATTACATATAGCACAGTTAGCCTGATGCATATAAATCCATGAGCTGCTAATTCATTGAATAGTTAATTGCTCTTTAGTTCCTGACCTTTTTTAAAGAAAATGAGTTAATGCTGGCCATTCATTTAAGTCAAAGAAAAGTGTAACTGTTGCTCTTCAAATGTATTTTGTACTTGCGATATGATATCAGTATCTGGGCATATGGCTTTATTCTGAATGCTTTTGAGTATATGCTCTATGGCTAATGTTCCATGGGTTGCTGTATGTTTCATACTCATTCTTCTGTTCAGCTTAAGCATGGTTAATATGTTTTTGTAGGCAGTTTAATGAATTGCTTAAAATAGGAAGTGTCCTTGATTTACCTTCTGTATCATAAAACGTGGGTAGTAATTATTTAAATTTACCTTTGATTTATATGCCTTTGCTTCGTCTACTCTGAGATTATGACTTTATGATAGCTAAGTTACTCTTGATGAATTGGTTTTGGTGGGATATTGTAGTACTTGCTGAGTCCATTGTTCATAATGGATATAATTTTTTTTCATGATCCTTTCTCAGCCCCTGTAGTTGTAATATAAATAAGTTTTAAACTAACAAGACATTGATGTGCTTTAAGACTCAATCATTTCCCAGGGCTTAGCTTTGATTTGGGTGGGTGGTGGAAAGAAAGCAAGAGATAGAAGGCAAAGGGTAAGGAAAAATTGTGTGGGGGTCAGACAAATGCTGTGATAGAAGCTTGGTATCTAAACATGACAGGAGCAGGACATTCCTGAAGTCAGGTTATGTTGAGAAGTGATTGTTTAAATGTACATTCATGCTAAGACCAAGAGATAAACAAAATGGAGTCTGTAACCTAAAAACCTCCATGTAATTCTTGCTTCAGATGGCACAGTAATTTCCATCTTTATTGTAGTTAGACCTAAGCTCGTGGATAGATGTCCATTTTGAAGACATCCCCTCCTGGAAGTTGTTTGTCATCCCTCTGTTGGAGGCTACTGCCTCACAGCTCTGCTGGTTGACAGGACTGCGTGAGTTTTCTTTAATCTGTGCATTGCCCTGCTACAGGAGAAATCAGCTAGGTTAGCCAAAGCAGCTGAAATGGATGAGCAGCTGCCTTTTGCTTGAAGCAAGTTAGAAAATGTGAATACAAAGTCATTCAACAGCATTTTTATGAGGGTGGAACAGTCTTGCAGAACTGCAGTGATGACCAGCCAAATGGTACCTGTTGCAATTTAATTTGTTCACAGTCCTTATGGATGAAGAGAGTTTGAAATGAAATGGCTGGGTTTATCCAAAGCAAGTATTAGAGTTCCCATAAAAATTCTTTCATTAACAGATTTTTTTAAGGGCAGTCTGCATTATGCGGGCAGCAATGAGCAACTGTGGGTGATAACATGCCTCGGTCAGCAGAGCTAGATCTGTCTTTGGACTTCATATAATCTCAAGTACATATGCTTTTCGGTCTCTGACAATAGTTCTAAGCGTACATGTGGCTGCATAAATAGACTGTGAAAAATATTCTATTTAGATGATTTAGACTATTTGCAAGTAAAATCATTCCAGTAATAGAGCTTAGTACATTTAGGGTCTTTAACTCATGTTATGTATGAGAATAAGATTTTCAGTTGTAGTAATTTATAGTTCTATTTTTCTTCTCATTTTGCACATGAATTTAAGCCTGGAATAATGCAAGGTAGCTCTGTAATCCAATGTATTTATAGTCAGTGTGTGGTAAGAATCCAGCAATCAAACCATCAGTGGGTTTTAATCACACTAAGGTTGGATTCAGTGTTTTGTGCTTTTAATAGATGCTAGTGGAATAAAAGGTAGCCTTATTTTTAATATAAGTGAGTTCTTTTTCCAGGTGGGAACATAACCCTTGGACTGCATGTTCTGTTTCCTGTGGAGGTGGTATTCAGAGGAGAAGTTTTGTGTGTGTAGAGGAGACCATTCATGGAGAGATACTGCAAGTGGAAGAATGGAAATGCATGTATGCCCCTAAACCCAAAGTCATTCAAACCTGCAATCTGTTTGATTGTCCTAAATGGGTGGCAATGGAATGGTCTCAAGTAAGTAGAAAAGTAATTTGGACCTTTATTCTTGTTTTCTAAAGAAAGCCTCTAGTCTTGTGTTACCATGTATTTGTGAGCAGAGGGCTATTAGAAAAATATAGCCCTGCAAGCATATTTCATAGTATTAACTCGGAGAAGTCTGTGCTAAGTAATTTGGCCTGATAATCAAAATGTTAACATGTCTGTGTGGAGAAAAATGCATATAGAATTATTTATGCCTGTTGAATTCCTGCTTTACATGGGGGAGAAATTAGAGCCAGAGGTCAGGCCTCTCTGCAATCAGGTCGTTTGTGTCTCAGTTCTTGATAAATGTAATATTTCACCGCATATAATAGCTAAAGGCATGTCTGTCTAGGGGCTGACATGTCTGCAAGGGTGATTTTCCAGCATTCTTACCTTTCATTATAGTAACAAGAATATAAAGCCAACTTATCTTGGCTGTAGTTATCTGATACAGTCAGATAGCTCAACACTTCTATAATTCCGTAGTTCATCCAAATGACATCACTGACATATAGTGAAGAAACTGTTCTTGCAGCACGTCTGACCCAGCTTTAACTGAAAATGACCACTGTGAGAGAGCATATTCTCAGTATGTAGCCACCTCTGTTTCAGGCTGTTGCCAATCAGATAAGCTTCACAGAACCCCAAGAAATCACTTACGTTCCCAAAACTTAGACATTTTTTCCAGCATCAACCTCTTCTTTATTCACCTACCAATGCAGGGACAAATTCATATGTCTCTGTTATCTGACTGATTGTGGAAAAACTTTAGTGAACACATCATCAGCACTTCTAACTTGCTTTTTAACAGTATTTGTAAATATAATAAAAAAGAAACAGCATGAGATGGTTGCATTGTCTCCTGCAGTGCACAGTGACCTGTGGCCGAGGCTTGCGTTACCGAGTAGTGCTGTGTATCGACCACCGTGGGCAGCATGTCGGTGGCTGTAATCCACAACTTAAACTACACATAAAAGAAGAGTGCATCGTGCCAATACCATGTTACAAGCCAAAAGGTAACTGGAATTTTGTCTGGGTCTGTTATTGTTTTACATTTTTGTTAAGAGAATTAAAAGCCCCTGGTAACCTTTTTCAGAAATGCCAGAAGCTGGAATTTACTAGGACTTATTTCAGTCTTGGCAGAAACAAGTGTTTTAATTATTGGTGCTAGGAAAAGTGCCCTGCTGATATTTTTTGCTGATAATGTGGCCAGACTGTCATGAGGTGAACATGCTAACAAAATCTATACAGCCTGGTCAAATTGGAAAAAACCAGAATTAAAGTGTTCAACATGTGGAGGAGGAGTTGTTCAATAATACTTGAAATGGGAATGATATTCCACATGTATCACCTGGGATCTTGTTTGTTTGCATCTCATTAAATGTGTCAACATTCTCACTGGGCCCCATCAGTTCATTAAGTTATAATCAAACTTGTTCCTTTCTCTCTTCTCCATTTCTGCATATTTAAAAGGTCTGTGACATTGATGTAAATTGACAAATATTCTCTAAAATAGTTGGTAAGGTTTAAAACAGTAGGTGGGAAGGTTAAAAGAAAAAACAAAGATGAGAGGGGAAACAAGTATATCTTGTCCCATGCTCATTTCTGTCCCTCTGGGCCCAGAAAATATTAGTGGGTGCTACTCCCATTCCTTCAATTTTTATGTGAAAGGCTGTATTTCAGACCTTCACAACTCACCATAAAGATTTACATAGAACAAGTGAAAGCTCTCTGGGTAGACAACCCTATGTTTCTCTTCAGTATGTTTTCAGACTCCAGAGAATTCTTCAAACAGAAAACTATTCGGGGTTAAACCATGAAGTAGAAACTAGCACTGAAATTTTAAGAACCTTCTTCTAGGGTTTTACTTAAGTTTGGAAGCACAGATCCTCAGTTGGCTTACTTTACTCTGAGAAAAACCATCACAGAAGTGTAGGATGTATAGACAGATAAAAGAAGCTAGTGTTGTTTTTTTTAATTAATTTCCAATTTTGGGAAAGCTGGCTAGCTCAGCAAAAAAACATTTAGTATGAAAATTTTCTAATGAAGCCAATTTATCTGGAGAGCGATGCATGTTTGCTATGCTCTGGCTTCTTTTTCAGCTACAAGCTTAAGCGATGACGATAAGCCTTGCACTGAGATATAAGCTACTATGTACTTGAAATTGCCTGCATTTGGGGAAGATGTGGGAAGGAAGTAAAAGATTAAACAGGAATGGAAATTGGATTACTGGTACCCTCTCAGTAAAAAGGGATGTCAGAATGGAGCTCAAACATCATGAAGAAATTTTCTAGTAAATTATGTTTTATTATCCAGTATATCTTTATTCAAAAGCATTAGACCAATACACAATGTAAAGTGTAAAGTGCTAAGGTGAATAATGTTAACATCTACATATTGCTTTGATTTTGGAGGAATTACTGAATGGTGGTTTTTTTCTCTATCAGAAAAAAGTCCCGTGGAAGCAAAATTGCCATGGTTTAAACAGGCACATGAAATAGAAGAGACCAGAACAGTCTCAGAAGAGCCAACGTAAGTACATTGTCTTTTACAGTGGAGAAACATTTCCGGCATATTTTGCAGATCATCTGGAATGACTGTTGCTATGCGGTTTGCTTTGACAGTTGGCCCTCCTTGGGAGATGAGTTGTGTTGTGAGCTGTTCCTAATTTTATATCTCAATAGCTTTGCTTCTGGAGCTCCTGTTCTGGATGACACAGAGCTACTCTGTTATAGTGTTCCTATATCATTCAAGCAATGCAAAGAGATCTTAATTTAGCCTAATTAAGCTGTAATAAATGCATGTGGAAGCATTTCAGCAGGTGTAAATTAAATAAATTCAGTTTTATCCCAGTTGTTGCCATTACCTCAAGAATGTAGTGGTTGTATTAAAAATTAAGAGGTACTTTGTAGGGTTGCCAGGATTTCCTTGGGGGCTGAGACCAACGCATAAAGAAAGTGAGAAAAATCTGCTGATCTCTGAGCTTAGCTGAATCTATGGGGATAAGTTGTGATATTTTACACGTGTGTGTGTGAAAAACATCTGGATTTTGTGAGTCCCCTTAAAAGCTGATGGGGGTAAGCCTCACAATGTTTAAGTCCTGGGGATGAAAGCATAACTTAAATCCAGCTTCACTTGTTCCGGTCCCTTGTATGTTAGGGCATCTCACAATTGCTTGTATCCCCTGTGTACGTTTCATGCATATGTGTAGCTAATATATTCAATATATAGTATATAGCTTTCTAGAAAGTAGTAACTTTCTGTAAGGTTTTCATGAGAGATTTTGAACAGTATCCTGTTGTGCTTAGCCAAATTCTGCACTTATTTGTAGTAATTTTAGTTTAAAATAATTTAGATGAGTTTACTGAAGTAACTTCAGATTTATACCGCTCTTAGAGCAGAGTGTGCCCCATAACTTCTTATTTTTCTTCCTCCATCTAGCTATTCCTGATTTTTGGCACACATGCACCAACAGGTGTGATCATGAGTAATAAAATCTTTACACCTGCACTGACTCACAGAAGAAATGTCTTGCCAAACAGGTGTTTGCATAGTTATGGTGACTGTGCTTTAAACTTTTCACTGCTCTAGCCTCTCAAGTCAAGTGTCAACCTACTGTAAGCAGTTATTTCACTCTCCAAATTGGTGGCCTTGAATTCAGGCAGGGTAGTAGCAAAGGTATAAAAATAAACTGTGATTGTCGAAGGGGGTGATGCAATTAACTGTGCCTGTTGAATGTCAGCATATCAGAATGAAGGTATGTGAGGCCATCGCTAGAGAGGATTCAGCACGAAGCTATAAAGAACGTGATCTCTAGCATTACAGAATCATGCTGTGGCAACCATGAGCTCATGTAGTCACAAGGTTTTTAGGATTTTTCAGCAGCAGTCTGACAGAACAAGCAGGGAGGACTGGCAGGAACACAGCATGCTAGTTCAGAGTCTATTTAGAATATAATAGACCTGAGCTGGAAACCTTGTAATGGGTTCCCTTGTACCTTGTCCTTACAAAGAAAGCTTTTATTCATGCCTTCCTGGACATGACCGATGTATTCTGCTGCGGCCTCACAGTGTGAATGCAGCCACGTGTTTGAGTTCTCAGTGCATCTCCTGTCACAGCTGTGCAGTTTTGCAGTTTCCTGGATTTTTTTTTCATCTTCACTTACTCTGGAAACCTGTATTTTCTTCGTCTTTCATTCATGATCCTAATCCTGTCCTAAGACTCTTTCCTACACATTTTGCAGAAGCATCTTCACCTAAGTCTAAAAGGTTTCTTCAGCCACTTCTTGCTGGTGACTCTTCTCTTTAGGGAGGTGTTGCTGAGGCACTGTGCTTTCTTAGTCTGGGTACTCTGGGCTCTCCTGGGACCCAGCTGTAATGCTGCACTCAGATTCCACTTCAGTTTATTTTTACCTGTCTTCTGCTGCCACCTGCTCTTGGTCTATTCTTCTGAGGAAGCTGGCAGGTGAGGAGCAATGAGAAATAACTGCTCCCTGACTTCATCCCTTTTTGCAGATTGCCTGTTAGTCCTGTGGACAGTAGTTTGCAGAGCAATTTCTCACCAGCTGCTTTAAGTCTCATGCCCCAACTGCTCCTGTCTTCTAGGTGGGGTGAGATTTTTGGGTCAGGCTTTAGGACTTAAAAAGAAATTGTAACAATAGGTTGTTACTTCTCCCAGAGTTAATTACAAGAAGATTCCTCTCTGGTTTGGATCTGTTTAACTTTGTTTTCTGTAATTTACACATGGCACAGTGATAACTCATAGCCCACCTCTGCCTAGCAGGAGCCTTATGATTTCCTTGGTAAAATGCCATCACTTTTGATTTTAGTTATTCTCTTGTCATCCAAACTTGAACCGCAATATGAAGTCTCAACTTCTAGTCCATCCTTTTATTACAACTGTCTTTCTATGCTTTTGTGTGATATTTTAGTTGATAATGAATAAATGCAGCTGTGTTTTAGAACCCACAAATGATGGATATGCCAAAAGTAGCTTGTGGAAGATTAATACTTCTGCCGCTGTGGTCTACCACGGCTGGTGTCCTGAATTTACATAGAGGGGGAACATTCAAAAGCTTCTTTTTTTATTATTAGCAAAATAAAAAATGACTGCCCTTAAAGTGAGGCCAAGAAAAATGTAGGTCTGACCTTTTTAGTTTTTAGTTGTGGAATGTGATGACAGTTGATACCAATCATTATTTTAAACGTTCTTCCCTCGAGCCTTCTTAGTTACAGTGGGATTCGCAGAGAAGCTCCAGCAAGGTTTTTGCATCCTTTTTATTAATCATTTGTTAAAGAAATAGACACCTCACCTGGCTTTGCCTGTCATGGCTTAGGACAAAACTAAAATTCTTTCAAAAGCTGATATATTTTTTCAAAAGCAATCTGAGCTAAAAAGTAATCACTAGGTCTGTGGACTAGCACTTGCTGAATGTGAAATGTGGGGTGTCTCACACAGGTTGCTGCTCGTTGTGTTTGAGTCATTGTCACAGAAATGTCCCTATCATACCTTTGGTGGTAGAGAATTACACACTTTTCATAGCTGCTTCTCTGAAAATGGGCTGGTGATTTTGTCCAACGCATTACACGTGAGGTTGATAAAACCTGGCAGTGCAACTCTGCTTAGAGCAGGCAAGGGTGGTGTTTTGGGGAGGGGTAGGGTGCCAGTGTTGTGGAAGTTCTGCCCCAGTAAGCAGCCAACATTTTAGATGCTTCTGCAAACTTTTATTCAGGCCCCTTGGCGCAGTAGGCTTGGACTGGAAATATCACAAGAGCAGCCTTTTTTTTTTTTTCAGGATTTAGGCATTTCCTGTCTTAACTGAAAGCAAGAACTGCAGGCATGAGGAAAATAATAATAATAAAAAAACATTAGGAGACACCATGTTCTCCAAGTCTTTAGAAAGCTGCAGAAGGCTGCGCTGAATTAAGTTTCAGTTCAGATTTGATTTGATCGGGTTGGGCTGTTCTGTCCCAATTTTATCATCGGTAGTCAAGGTCACTGCTTCATTTTCCAGGTCATCCTACTCTGGCTTTTTCAGAGTGTGCCAGGTGAATGCACATTTCCATTAGCGTTAGCCCGATAACACTGCAGCATGGACATATTCTCCACTGCATCTGTAGTGTATACATCATTTACACCTGTGTAGGTGATTATAGGAGCATTAAATTTCCCGGTTGCACTGGGAAGAACGACTGTACAAAAAGGCTGATTGTGAAAAGTTGTGCCTGCTCAGATTTGCATTTTTCCCTTCTTTTCCTTTTTTTCAATCAGAAGAGGAGTTTCATCTACAAACTTAAAGATCTCATAAAATTTTCGGAGTTACCACCATCCTATCTGTTCCATTATAAATTCCTGATGATCTCCAAGGCATCATAATGCAAGTGCTTTGATGCTTCTTAATCCTGACCCAAGTTCGCTCTGCGTGTATGCCTGTCAAAGGCAGCGTGAATTTGCTTTGGGGAAGAATTGTGTCCAAAACATTGCCATGTGTGTGCTGTGAATGCCACTGAGTAGAAGATATATCACTTCTGAGGTTGATGGAGTTTGCTTTAATGACCAGTCACAGGCTTGGTTGTGCATATGTTAAAAAATAAAGTCATCTGCCTGAATTAAAAATTCAAATGCAGTGCCAAGCTCTGGAGCCCTGTCACTGCCCAGTCAGTTCCTTGCTCCAATTTTGTATTGGCAGTCTCCATTGACTTCTGTTGAAGGTACTTAAAGTGTGACTATAGCGTGGTCACCCTTTGAAAAGTTCTATAATTTAGGATTTTAATAGCTAAATGTCATGTGACTGGTTTAGCAAAATGCCAAGGTAGAACAAAAAGTATTTTGGGTGGGGTTTTGTTATCTTGCACTTCACTGAAAAATACCAGACACTAATATTCAACAGGAAAACCCCAATTATAATATAGGCTTTCTTTAAGTCAAAGAAAAAATGCTTAGAATTTTCTGAGTTTCTTTATAAATCAATCAGTTGCTGAATGAAAGGATTGCTGTGGTTCAAAATTTCCTTTCACTTATATGGGATTTCGAAAGAATGCATCATACATTATTTCTGGAATGTTTTAATGCACTCAAATAACAGTATACAAAATTAACACTAATTTCTGGTATGCTGCTGTCATACTTTTACCAAAAAAAGTTATTTACTTTCAGACTGTAAACTGTTAGGTGTGGACAGAACACCAACCAACTCTTTTCAACTATAAATGTCCATCAATTTTATTTTTCCAGTTAGATACATAACTACAAATGGACTTACACTTTCTTTACACAGGAGGAAAGTCATAATTTTGTTAAGCCTGTGCACAATGGCCTTCGTCCAATAAAGCACTTAAACACAAGTTTAACTCTGAACACATTATAGTCCTATTGGCTTCAAAGGGCTGTTAATATGCTTGAAGTTAGGCACATGCTTAACCATTTTGTTGGATGAGGCTGATTTTGCTATGGCTGCCCTAGGTAGTTTGCATGGCTGTATTTGAAAAGACTGTGAGGTCTGATGTTTCAGGGCTAAGCTGATTTTACCTGCTGGGGTAAGAGAGGGCCTTCCTTTGCAGCTTTCCCCACAGATGTTCAGGTAGAATTTGTTATCAAAAGCACCTGGACATTGACCCCTGCCAGCTGTGCTGTTGGACTTGATGGGCCATAGGGTTGCACCAGTATGGCATTTACTCAGCTTTTATCACTGTAGGACACAACCATCCACCATTTTGATAATACTCTTCCAATGAAAATCAATCTGGTCATCTACTTCAGAGGTAGTCAGACTTACTAAGTGATGTGCGCTTGCCGTTTTCCTTGGTTTCAGGAAGAGCTGGGATGCTGTCCCCTTTACTGACATCTGTCAAGGACCAGTGAGCTCAAACTAAAATTTTGAGGCTCTGTTCAAGGAAACTTTGAAGTGACAGGCTTTGACATCTTTATTTATCTTCATATTAGAGTTGTAAACGTATTTCACTAACACCTCCTTAAAGAATAACCAGTTACCTTGTAACCTTCATTGGAAGTGGGAATAGTCTTTTCCACAGGAGACGGCCTGCCTTGGGGTCTATCCCAAACACAGCTTGAGTGACTACCGCAAGGACTGAGTTAGAGTATCCTTATGGGTTACCCCCTCATCTGTTCTCCTTTCTCCTATTTGAGTCTTCCTCTGTATATATTGGCAAGAAGCTACTGGCTCAAGATGATAAACTGTCCACAGAATCAACCACACTGTGTTGACATTTTTCTATGCTTACTGTGTATGTAGAGTGTAAATACTGATTTTTGTCTTACAAAACTGTTCTTGTATTTGTTAAAGACAGCTTTCCTGCAGTAAAGAGAAAGATAACTCTTAATAAAAGTTAAGGAGAAAATCTTTGAATCCTAATTTGGATTTTTCCTTCTGAATATGCTTTTAGCATTGGTCAAATATATGCTCCTATATCTCCCATTTGTGTTTTGATCACCATCTGCATTTGGACATATAAAAAAGAGTGAATGCACATTTTGAAAAAATATCCTATGAAACTCTGTATTTGATTTCTCATAAATTGTACCTCAGAGCCACTCAGGATGGCTTTATTAATGAAATTCAGCCCCTTAGCTCTAGTGACATTTTGAAAATTACTGTCAGATATTGATGTGACCCTTGAAGTCAGAGAATATTATAGACTAAAACCTCCTTTTATTCAGTAAATTCATGACCTGTAAAATAGGATTTTACTATAGTTCATCAGGAGCATAAATGCTTTCTAATAAAAATGATGGATTATAGACTGAGCCAGTTAGACCTCTTTACTGAAGATGAGAGGCTTCTTACAAGATTAAATCTGAACAGCAGCCTGCGGTGGAGTGCATTGGAGATAGCTAGATTTAAAAAGTGCTTTTCTTCTGTCTGGTTGCCGATTATTTGTATGACATAAGGTGATGGCCTTTCTCAGATTTGAGCAGAGTGCAAATGTATTTTTGGCATATGCTTAAGTCTGCGTACCTGGGGAGCTATTTTATATTGTATAGTTATGTCTTCATGGAATTTCTCCTTTTTTTCCACTGAAGGAGTTTGAGAAACGATTTAGGTGATGTCCTTTTTCCCCAAAAAAGAATACCGCTCTCCCTGTTCCTCATGATTCTTTCTCCTCTTTTCCTGCATCTTTTCTTTTGTGAAATTTGAGAAATGATCTGGGATGGGAAGCAAGTGTAAGATGTAAGACACTTGATTATGCATTCTATTTAAGCATCAAGTCATTCTATTTAAGCATCAAGTAGTATTATGTATTGTCTGCTCTGTGTATAGACATACATTTGTGTGTTTTAGCTACGTTTTAACTGTGTGCACACAGACACAATTACACAGAGTAAAATCACAGTGTTTCTATTGCGCTATGATTATTTGCAGGTTTATTCCTGAACCCTGGTCTCCATGCAGTGCCACGTGCGGTAATGGCATACAGGTGCGAGACGTGAAGTGCCGGATTCTTCTCGCATTTACTCAGACTGAAGTTGAACTGCCTGAGGAGGAATGTGAAGATGTGAAGCCAGCGACAGAACGAGTCTGTCACCAGGCATCCTGTGACAGTGATCCTGTCCCCTACACGCCAGAATTTTCACATGCTGAAGATGGCAATGTGATTTACGACTGGGAATACATTGGTTTTACTTCTTGTTCAGCCACATGTCTTGGAGGTACCTTTATTTATTTGTTTGACATTGTTGGGTCTTCTGTTAGTGTTACCCTAAATTAGCTACATTGATCTGTAGGAAAACATGCAGCTTCAAGTTTTAACTTACTTTTAGGTTATCCATAGAGTATTTCAAACGACTTTGTTTTCTTTATATCCTGTGTTCAAACACCAGCCTTATTTGGTTAAGTAAGGTGCAAGAAGTGGTTGATACAGCAGCTTGCTTCAACCTTGTTGCTCCAGGAGTCTCAGCTGCCAGGCAGTTGGTGGTACCAGCATGTTTAATGTATCAGTGATGGGCACATTTAGATGACCTTTCTTTTTCTAGGAACTGAAAGTGTACAGTTTTGGAGTTAAAATTCCGATGTTAATTATTCTTTATCTTCCAAAATGCTGCCATTTTCTGCAGTACAGTAGGGATACAAGGTTGTAATTAGGGAGACTCGCTTTCAGTCTGACCAGCATGAAGGTCAAACAGGAGTTTGCTCAGGTCTTGGTACAGTATATCACTCTATAGGAACTCTGTGCCATACATCTGTCTGCAAGTAGTTAGGCACATTCCTTTTTGGATGTAATCGAATCTCCCTGTCGTCCTAAGTACATGTTAGACAAGGCTGCTGGTGTTGCTACTACATACTGTACTTTGGGACTGAACACAAGTGAGTTATGAAGTGTTAAGTGGAGGCAGTGGAATTGTGAACACACCTATATATGACAGGACTGATGACATCAGTGGGAAGTGAAGACAGTTGTACCCATAGAAGAAATAAAAAATGTAAAAAAGGGGAGCAGAGAAACAATTGGAAGCAGAGAGCCAGTCTAGAGCTCACGGAAAGCAGCCTCCTTTGTACTATTCACCAGTTCAAACCATGAAGACACAAGTTGGGAGGGATGCCCTAGAACACTGTCGGAGGATGGTAAGTGCCTGATAAGTGCCTCCTTTATCACGTACTACTGCTGTTTACTGGTGGGGTTGATCCATAGGCATAACAGCACTTGTGATTACAAAAGCTGATGCGTCCCATTCCCTCTGCTAACTTCAGTGGGCATTTTGACTGGCAAGGCAGAAGAGGCTATAGTCCAAGTATGTATGTGTAAAAGTCACCCAGCAGTGACAGCTATTATGACAGAGTGTGTCTGTTTCTTTATTTTGACGGTCTGTTTCTTTATTTTAATGAGGGAATTCTTTTAGAAATAAGGAAATTGTACTCTAAAGCAGAAGCAATGTTTTAATTACTACTGAATTTGTAGTTCTCTTTTTCATATCTCAACTTATTTTTGTAAAGTTCAATCATTCCATTACCTTCTTAAATCCACTTTGCTAGTGCTTTTTAGCCAATATCTTTGTCAGAGGTATTCTAAAACTCCAAAGCTTTTGAATTTTGAGGACATCAGCAGACATCTACACTGAAATAATCTCTAGGCTTTGCCCGTTCTTGCACATGAGCATGTTTGCATTGCCTGCATCTTCACATGTGAGTTTGTTCATGCAAAAAAGTTCACATAAAAACTTGCACTTGGAGTGCAAGCTGATAGTCATTTAAGGAGCCTGTACTGAAGACATTAGTTTCATTTGCTGGCACAAAGGAATTTCAAAATGACTGATGAGCAGAATCCCACGTTCAACTTAATTTTGTTCCTGAGGGAGCAGAGTGTGAATTCTGTTGTTGACTTGTGGCCCTTTCATGAATTTGTAAGGTTGCCTGACCCAGCATTGTCCTATTGGTGTTCATAGTAATCTAACCATCTGTTTGATACGCAATAGAAATAATCCATTTAAAGATGTTTGAAAGAAAATATCTGGTTGTGTTCTTGAGACTTCTGTGGTATCACTGGTACTATGTCTAGACATTTTTCTTATGTGATGCTCCTGGGAAATGTGGGAAGTTGTCAGGATATTTTATCAATGAATGGCTTCAGAAGTCCCTGTACTGTTATACTAGTTATGTAGCAGTGATTTTTTTCCTTCTATCAGTTCTGGTCTTCTTGCTGCCTTGGCAAAGGCTTTCAAACAGACCAGAAATTACCTGCCGATAAATAGTTTTAAGGGAACCAGACATCTCTTCTGTTTCCAACTTATTGCAATGTACTAACTAATGATCTCACTGTCTACTATTTTTCCATTGTGTAGTTCAAAGGAGCTGATCCATTTCTGCTAAGTTTTATGTTCAAATCTCATTTCAATTAGATGAACTCTTGGTTACAAGAAATAAATGTTGTCTGAGTTTGGAATATCCCAGTGTAATGTAAATTATATTAGGTACTTTTTCTCCAGTATGTATGTACCTAGCAGTGGCTATTAAAATAAATTCCTGTGGATTTCTGTATCCTCGGAACCACCTACCCCCATTTCTTAGTGCTTGACTCTCTCTGAATGAGGGAAAAGTCTGCAGGGTCTAAGTAGGCTGGAAGCTTTATATCCACTGTTCGAGCAAGGTCTGAATCTCTGTTTCAGTGCTTGTCACTTGCAACTTTTTTTTTAAATCCTCATATAGACTATACTTTTAATTCAAACTCTCCTATGGTCTCTCTCCAAAGCAGAGTTAAAAATGAAGATGGAAACATTGTTATTGAGGTATTAGAATTACAGAGAGAGAACGATCTGCAAGGCATCACCAAACATCATCTTTACCTTCCAGTTCATCATATTCGGCAGGTTCTAGAGCATTAGTAACACACATCTTCGGTCATTCTGTGTGCTTTCTGCACCACATCTGTGTGGCTTGTCATGCAGCATATTGGGTGCCATAAAACTTTCTGCTTTTGAGGACTGCTATGTTGTGTTGTGCCTGTTAGCATAATTCATACTACTTTCATCAATCTTTCCACGAGTGCAGACAAAAGTTGTCCAGGCTAATAGAGGTAAGCGTCACCTTTAACTTCCATAGGAAACTCTGTAGCCATCCTGAAAGCTAAAGATCTCTTTGTCTTCAGTGACTGAAGAAATCCCAAACTGAAAATTAGCCACCTGTGAGCTTGGGGATCTCATGATTTGCCCTCATTTTCCCAGAATGTAGTGGTTTTGGTTATTTTTTTCCTTTGGGGTTCATTGGGTTTTTTTTTAATCTGAAGAACTTTAGCCCTGATGCAAGAGCCCCCAACATAAGAAGTTTAATTCTTGTAATATTGTCAGTAAAAAGTAACAGTTGTTATCAGAATAAAGAGTATGCCTGAGGATAAGAAATGTTTTTCTTGTAATCTGTAGTATTTCTTTAGTCTTTTCAATAATTTAACTACTCTACAATATTTTAAAGGGATTTTTTCCATTTAAAAAAATAACTGAACGTTTTCTGGGTCCCTGTTTAAAAATACCTTTACCTGCAAGAGGCAGATTTTGGTATTTCAGTGTAATTATTATTATTTATTCAGCATGCTTCAAAAATTATGATTCAGGCCCCTCCAAGTCATTACTTTGGCTTAAAAATCATGAGATTCAACAATAAATACAGTTCCTGTTGTTTCTTCTACAGTCTGTGGCTTTGGAAGCTTTAGGGTGCAGTCAAGTTGTGTTTTCAGGCTTTTGTCTGGACCATAATGGCTAAAAGTTTACTATTTTATGTATAAGAAACCCGAGATTCTTAGAAAATCAATGGATTCTAGCCAAATTTAAGGGCTCTTAAGAAAAACAGTGACCGTTCTGAGGCTCACATATAAAGTTGAGAGCGTTTGCAATACTGTGTAGGCAATTTGGTAACTGGTTACTCCTAGGACTAGTTTCACTAACTGTTTACTCTTTCACAGAAGTATAAACAACATTACCAGTTTCAGTAGATCTACAGAGAGGCTCAAGCATATGTAGGACTTGGCATTTCTTCTGAGTTATTTTCAGCTGATAGTACATATTTTTAGGCAGTCTCCAGACTGAGACTATCTGATAGAAATAAATGACTGCCCTTCCTCTTCCAGGTGCAGAGAACAGAACCATTCTCTTACCATTTGCACAGTGACTGTCCAAACCCATTTTCTTTGTACTCTAAAAATGGCAGAAACACGAAGTCTGGGCTTTTTTCAGGCATTCTGATCTTCTAACACAGCTTCATGTGCTGTGTATTTCACTGCACAGAAAAGCTTGTAAAAGAATGTAAATGTATGTGGTTTGAATGCTGGGTTAAAATAGAAAATATTCTATTTCACTGAATACTAGGATAATTACTACAATAGTGCATCAGATTACTGTAAAAATACTTAATGGTCCCTGATGCATACATAATGTTTTAGTTAAATTATCTACTATGTTTATATTATAAGCCAAGAAAGTCATACATATAAAACTTTGCTTGTTTGAATAACAGATTTTTCCATTTTCCAATCGACATAGAATAAGAAATATATCAGTGATTGAAGTTCCAATATAATGTAATATTATAGGTTGGGGTGAGAAATCTGATTAATTGTCAAGACATTTTGACAGTTAAGGTCAAGCAAATGCTGCATCGATTAAGTGTAGTTATTTATTGAATAGAGTTCTTGAACTGAGAACCATGGGAACGGGAAGGGGGTGTGCGGCATGTTTTTAACAGCTCTTTAATATCTGTTTTGTACTTATGGCATCAAAACAGGGTGCTGCTTTTCTTTCAGTAAGGCCCCTGTGGGGAGGAATCGCTACTGCAGTGTGTGCCCTGTAGTTATGTCAAATGAAAGATACATGGCATATCGACATTTGCTTCTGGTAATGCAATTAAAGCTAGGTAGGTCATGCTGCAAGGCAGAAGTGATTTAATGAACCCCAGGTGGCAAGCTGCAGTCAAAAACCGTCACCTGGTATGACATGCCTTTGGTTCATTTGGCTGGCCAATTCAGTTTTTACAACACTGAGATAAACATTTCCCATGGGATTATTGCTGATTTAGATGGTCTGAAAGGAATCTCATTTCATTCCCCTCTGTTGTGTGAGATATTAAGATATTACTTTATCGCAACCTGTTCCAGAGCAGCATCACCTCTGTGTGGTTTTCCCACAGGGACACAGTGAGGTCAGCAAAACTGAAGGTTGGTAGCATAGGATAGATTTTGACCTAGAATAGAGATTGTACGGATGCTTGATAAGTGCTTGATTGCTTGTCTGGTAATGTCATTCTCTTTCTGCCAGAACACAATTTCTAAATCTTTATTTCTCTCCTATAGGCAGTCAGATGCATGTTTCCTATGTAAGGGGACAGGGAAGCTGCTCCTGTTAAACACAACTGGACAAAAAGTGTTTGATTCCCTTGGTTGTCAGTCTGGAATAAAATAGTAGCCTTCGAGAAACCATGTTTATTTACTGGTTTGTCTTTTTTGGGGGCATTTTAATGTCTGTTTTATAGTAGCGGTATTTGCTCTTAGAGGTTTTTTCTCAGCCCTGCTAAGTAGTAAACCACTTTTTATTCAATGCGTGTGTTCTGTGTTAATGTAATTATCAATATTTTGATATAAGAGAACTGAATAGGTTGTCAATCATATTTAAGGTCAGGTCTTCTGTTCTCTAAAAATTCATCACTTTGTAGGTGTAGTCAAAACATTTATATAACAAGGTCTTTCTGAACTGAAAATGAGTCCCAGAGGGGATCTAGAGGTGTACCAGAGAGCCTGAAAGAAACTGGAATCTATGTTACTGTGAAAATCACTGCTGGTCTTCTTCCGCTGAAGTGTCTGAAACAGTTGGACTGGTTCAAGTGTCACAAAGAGGGATTGTGGCCTGGGCCGGCTGCTTAGGGACATGGTTTAGTGGTGGGATGGCAGGGTTAGGTTAACGGTTGGACTTTTCCAACCTAAAGGATTCTATGATTCTATGATATGCTGGACTACATCAGAATTGTTTATAGATGGAAGGAACAGTTTGGGTTTATGAGAAGAATGGCAGTGCTCATGAATGCGTTGTAAAAGAGAGAAATATGGACCACTGGCATGGAGAGGAAACTTTCAGTGTAGGATATTTCATCGAGCCTACTGCAATCAGAATGACTAATGATCAACAGTCCCAAGAAATCAGTCATCATGCAGAGCTGACACAGAAGCAGGAATAGTTGTAGTAGCCTTTGTGTAACAGCAGTGGGGATGTTTTGAGATAATATCATAGGTGATACCATGAAGTGAAGGTTTCTAGTTAAATTGCAACTCCCTTGGAAATCTTAGAAGTTGTTCATAAGAAAAGAAATATAACCTGCTGCTGAAAGCAAGTTTGTATCCTTATAAAATCACTGGAGATAAGCAAAAGATAGGAAGGAAATGGATTTAAATTCTTTAAACTGTGACTCTTCAAAGGCCTTTTTTACCTGGAAGCAACAAAATAGGTATTTTATTATTTTAGTGCTTTTTTGTTCTACAGGATTGTGATCGTTAGCATTGCTTATATAGAACATCACAGGTACACAGGATCTGCCAAGTATATCATAAACCATCTTGTCTTTCATGTGCATGCAAGTGAGCTTTGAAATTGAGCAAGGTTTTCGTACTAAAAAATATGATATATAAAATTGGATAATTACATGGGTTTAAAATAAAACTGTTCACAAAATCTGTATTTGCTAAGCTGACTTGCTCTAAAGCAAACTTATATTACGTTTCATTTTGACTCATAGAAATTTGAGTATTAGTAATCTTTCATGCTTCAGTAATAAGATCCAGGTAGCAAGAGCTGCAGATCAGAAGGTGCCAAGAATGGTCATGAGTGAGGAAAGCTCTAAGCTGCGTCAGATTTGCTGCCTTCAGCAAAACTATTGCACCTCTCGGCCCCTATGAGAAAGGTTCTATGTTTAGTCGGCCATTCTCCTGACTATAGTTTTGCAAGTTTTCTGCATTTTTTTTATTATATTTTTTTGCAGATCTTTAGCTCCTTAAAGTCAAGGTAAGTGAGAAGGAATCACTTTTACCCTGATTTTGGCAATGAAGCCAGTAGTTGGCTTGGGACCATGAGAGAACCAGGCAGATGTAGCTTCTGATGGTGGATAAACAGAGAAGCCTATTTTCTGTTGGGTTTCAGAGAGGTAGAATGTCAAATCAAGTCTTTTAAATATCAAAGAAGTGCTAGGTGTAATTCCCAAATACCTGTTGCGCATTAAATGTATAAACTATCTCTGTGTTCCTTTTGACTTGAGATGTTACCTTCAAGCCTGCTATCTCATTCAGTGTTTGGAGCTTTTTTACTGAGTTTTATTCAAGAGTAAGCTTTACAGAAATCTCTTCCATTTTCAGTGTTGCCTGTGTGTCTTCCTTTTTAATTCAGGAACACAAGAAGCCATTGCAATGTGTCTACATGTAGAGACAAAGCAAGCTGCCAATGAAACACTGTGTGACAATTCCAAGAGACCACCACCAATGACTCGTACTTGCAATATGAAGCTATGCCCTCCAAGGTACCCTGTAATAATGAAATCAAACTGTGGCAAAGAAATGGTTAATAGGACTTAAATAAACATTGGCTTTCTCAGAAAGGGTTCAGATTGCAAGACTGTGGTCATGCTTTGGGATGAAATTTCACTACTTCTGTCTTTAACAAGGTTTTGGGGTTGGGTTTTTTTTTTTTGTCTTGTTCACTCCTTTTCCACTCTTCACATCTCACTAATAAAATAGGGAACATTTTCTGAAATAAATATCTTCTGTGTAGATATTTGGCAGAGTTGGAAAAACAGCCTTAACTCTTCTAGTGGTACAAGGAAAATTTTAAGGCAATTTCACAAAAAACCAGAGAATATTTATTTTCTATCCTTACTGAATGAAAGAAAAAAAAAGTGAAATTATGATTTAAGGTTATTTTAATTTCATGCTGCTTTAGTAGCCCCGCATAGTTCTTATGGCTTCTCATTTATTTGGAGATCCTGGGAAAAGAACAAACCCAGTCCAAATCCAAGAGAGCCTAGCTAATTTGGTGACTTGAAAGGACCATATGTGAAATTTTGACATGTGCTGTCTTATTTACCCACTTTTGATCTCTGACATCCCTGATCCTTTGCATATTGTTTCTACGTGTTTGCAGAAACCTCCTCTTGCAAAATGTAGGGAAGAATTTAGCAGGAACAGGATGTTTTATAGAAAACATATACACATTTAAAGGAAGCTTTATAAATGTAAGAAAGGTCTATTTACATTTATAAATACAAACATCGGCAGGTTGCCAACAGGCTGCATTTTTTTATGAGAAGCATTCTGAAAGTAAATGCTGGAGTTGAGTTTGTCTGGAAATGACTCTTGCTTTATTGTTGATAACTTCTGCGCTTCCTTGTTACCTGCAAGTTTATAAATCTAGCTTATAATTTTGCATTACAGCCAAACCGAAGGGATGTTTTAGCCATCTGTCAATAACTAGGCCTTCACTTAGTTTTTGCTAGGGTCTGTTTGGGTACGATTGCTCCTTCCACAATCTCAGGTGAATTGGTGAAATGTGGGCTTTTGGCTGTCTTGTTGGAACAGGTGGCAAAGCGGCCCCTGGAGACGCTGCTCGGCTACGTGCGGGGTTGGGATACAGACAAGGGATGTGTACTGCCAGCAGCCGGGAGGATCTGCTGTTGCTGCTGAAGACTGCAAAGACAAAAAGCCGCATTCTTTACAAGCTTGTAACCAGATTGATTGTCCCCCTGTTTGGCATGTTGAGGAATGGCAACAGGTATGACTGGGTTACAGAAATACTTTAAATGTATTCCTCTGGCTAGGTACTTGAGATTCCCTAGCTGGAATAACATGGAAGGTATCTCCTAAACTTTGATTTGTAAGTGTTTCAACTGATTTCATTAGAACAAATGAATCCAGCATCAAAAATACTACTTTTAATTACTGTGCCAATGGGTAGCCACAGGATGAGGTGGAAAGTCCTTTTTAAGACTTCAGAAGGCTGGATACCAGTTACTCCAGACATTACCTCTATTTCTATGCTCTGCAAATGCAATAACATGCTTTTGGAGACATTGCTTCAATTTTTTTTTTTGTCTCGAGGACAAAGTTTCCTAAACTCCCACCAGGTGTATTCACTGATGTGAGACATAGGCAGATCTACGTGTAAGATGCATGTTTTCTTTAAGATTTCTACTACTTAATTGCATTCAGGTGGTGTGACTTTAACTTAGTAGTTAGGGCCTCATCATCTCTAATGTATTAGCTGAACATTTTAACAGAAGAACTTTCTACTTGCTGCTTGCTTTTTAATTACAAGGAGATGCCATTTTTCAAGAGAGCATAATTGGGGGGGGGGAGCTTACAGTGTTTGTGTAAAATGAGTGTGATGGGTTAGCACAGATGTCCATGCAGGTGTGTACATGCTATGCTCTCTTCTCCCTAGTGTTCACGTACTTGTGGAGGAGGGATTCAGACCCGCAAAGTGTACTGTAAGCAGCTGTTGACAGATGGAAGTTTCCTGAAACACTCTGATGACACCTGCCAGGAACCTAAATTGCCAACTAGTAAACCGTGTGCAAAAGTCGATTGTCCTCCTCAGCTAGTTGTAGGAGAATGGTCCAAGGTAAGCAGCCCCAAGCGAGGGCGAACCAAAACCTTCAGTTGCAACATGAGCTCTAAAGATTTCTGCTTGGGTGAATAAGATTTTTAGAGCAATAAATTCACAGGGTAGCTGAAGGTGTTTTGCAAGGCATGTACCTCGTCTAAACTATGCAAACAGTTGCTGTGCATCCCTGCCTACACCAGCCTGATTGCATCCCCCTTCCTAAGCTGTGTTTCAGTTGCTGAAGCACAGGCTGTAACGCACTGCATGCATTCTACCAGACTTGTTTAGCTATCAATTATTTCATAGCACAACTTCCAAAAAGCAAACCTTTGCATTATTCTGGAATATGTCCTCCTTCTTTCCCATTTAATGCAAGCTTGCCTACCGCTCCCTGTTCAAAAAAGATTTATAAAAGTGAATTTGGAAGCTGCAATTAAAGATTCGTGCGATACAGACTGGGAGAGAGGGTTGAGAGACTTGACACAGACTGTTCAGAACGTGCTGAATTGTTTCTCTTAGATGCTAGATCTCATTGCTCTGTTCTGCCTGTGGCTGGACATAAAGAAATACTGTCATGTTATTTTAATGGTTCCTGAGTTTCTTGCTGGAACAAATTATCTATCTTATATTCTTACTGCCTGGAAAAGTGGAGAGAGTTTAATGTCTGGATAACACAAAGATTCATATGAAGTAGAGTGTATACACTGCCTCTCAGAAGAAAAAAAAATAGTTTAAAATTAGCATGTGCGGTGTGGGACACCAAGTTTAGTTTGACTGCATCCTTCCTTTCACAGTGCTCAGTAAGCTGCGGAGTTGGAATCCAGAGAAGGAAACTTGCCTGCCAAAATCTAACAGCAAAGGGCCAATATGTCACATTAAATGGATCAATGTGTAGTGGTCTGTCTCCTTCACTGCTTGTAAGGTCTTGTCAGATGAATGCCTGCAACAGTAAGTATGTTACTTCATGTAGTTTCTTGCTAATTTGGAATGATCTATTTATAAAGAAAAATCTGTATACAGGTTAATTCACTCATCTCCCTATACTTTCACAACGTTACTAATCTGGCATAAACCGTGTCATAATTACTAGACCAGTAATAACAGGATTGGTTTTGATTTTTTTCTTCCAGTCAGAAATAAAAGTTATGATCTAACAGAGTAGTTTTTGAATACACTTTAGTGGTACATACCTCTCACCCTCGTACTTACCTGCATTTGATCTACTTTTTCCGTTATCCTTTACGTTATCCCAACTGCGAAAAAAAAAAAAAAAAGGGAGAGAAAATCCATAAATTGAGTGTAAATTACAAAGGACATTAGAAAAGATAAGAATCCAGTTCTGGCTTGTCTCTTCACTGTACATTTGCATTACACTGGACATTTTGCTTAGCGTGGTGGAATTCAAAACCTGAAACTCTGTGCCAGTGATAACTTTAGGTACAATTTCTATCTTTCTTTGTAGAAATGAGAATCCTTGTCTCATGAGCTTTGCAGGAAGTGATGACAGTACAGACGTTCTTAAAAAAAATCCAGTATTTTATGACTGCCTATATAAAAATCTTTTCAGAAAAAGCGGTCTATAGAAATTGCACGATTTGGGAACAACTAAGTTATGATACTGATGGTAGTTGCACTAATTGCATATGTATAACATCGATGGAAATACCTTACTGATATAGCTTATGTTCAATTACATACAGTAATTGAGAACAGGCAGTTCTAAATGCAGGTTCCTTAAGTCTGAACCTGTACTCTCCTTCCTTCAAAAAGGAAGGCATTAGTTTGTAGGTTTGGGGAGCAGAGTGCTGAAAAAAAAGGAAAAAAAAGAGAGTTTTTAGTCTTGGGGAGAAAAAACAAAAGCCTTCAAGGACGGCCTTGTTTTGATCACATATCGCAGAGATAGACCTATGTTGACCCAATTCATAGTGCTGTCAAGAAATTGCTACTTTATACATTTTGAAGCTTTGCTATAAAAATTATTCACAAAACAAAATAAGAACTAGAATAATTACTGATTCATACATAATATGAAACTTCTTTTCCTGGCCTGCATTTCAGATTAACATGCCAAAATCCTGAGGTTCAAAACTCCACTTAAATAAAGCCCTGTGGACTTTCAGGAATGTCCTTGGCATAAGGTTTAATAAAATATTTTGAGCTGCATATCTATCTGAATTTAATTAATTGTGGATAGTTGAATGGCAGTGTAGCTGGTTTGCAAATTGCTTAGCACAGACTGATATTAAAGTTACATTGTCAGCTTCCACCACAGTGCCAAGAAAGCAGGACAGCGGACCGCAGAGGGAATGCAGTTGTACTGAACGGGTGCAGATCAAAGTCATAAAAGAGAATCAACTGTCCTGGCCCTTCATCTCCACAACTGTTTGCAGCAAGGGACCCCTTTCAGCTCGGATTTGCCTGGCAATTCCCTTTCCTAGGCAGCAGGAGAGCAGGGAAGGCATGAGGCATGCCCGTGCCCATAGTTCCATTCTGGGTTTTGCAGAAGGAGTAGGGCAGTGGCAGCAGCAGGCTTTGGATTGATGGGAACATGCAGGAGACATCTCCTCCTCCTGCACCGATGTGTTCAGGCTGCCTTGAAGGGGGAGTGAATAGAAGGTGGGAACGCAGCATGGCCCCGGGATGGGCAGACGGCTACCTACAGAGTGAAGTGGACTCAGTGAAGGGTAGTGTGATCCATGGCATGCATGCTGCTAGGGGTTCTTGCCCTTGGGAGCAGTGTTTCTGAACATGCCTCCTCAAGGTTATGCTTCTGCGGCTCAGATGAGCTCCTTCTTTTTTACTGTCTCATGACAGTGCTGAGGCTTTTTAGACTTAGTCTTTTACCCTGGGACTAGTAATCATAGCGGTTTTCTACTTCATAAGCCCTATTAAATCAGAAACATTCCTGACTGTGGGCTCTGAGAAATAGGAAATAACACCAGTCTAGCCTTGAGGTCACCAGGACCTGACGCCCAGCTAAAGCTGTAGAGGACCATTAGAGGTCATGGACCCAAATGGATTTGTACCAGGTGATAATGAGGTCCAATGGCTCCAGTACGATCTAATCCTTAAGCAAGGTTTACCTTGTAGAAAAAAACCTCTCCCAAACAGTCCGTCACCTCAGCAGCTGCAAGATTGGATGATACTAAGGATCCAGAAAATGCATACTTATGTGGCCTCATGTATTTATATGAGCTTATATATTTATATGGCCTGCCATCCACAACTCTGAACTTTGTTTCACTCCTAGCCTTGCTCACCAGTAAAAATATACACACCCTTTAGTGTTGAACTGCTAATGAGAGTTAGTGGTCTTTTTTAAAAAAAAAAATGAAATGGATGAGACTTGTTAACGTATTTATAAGTATGCACTGGGTTTAATTCCATGTTGGAATAACTAGTGTAAACAGAGCACAGCCTGAAGTATTTTAATTTGTGTGTTTGAAGTTACACTTACTGTGTCTGTAAGTAGATTTTGGAAATGGAAGATTTAATACTGGAACACGTCCCTAAAAATAAATATTTGGGGCCCAGTAACTTATTAAAAACAGGACGCTACTCTAATAATTTTAGTAAACTGAGTGCCTAAAGCAATTTATTTGTTGTACCATGTGAAATGGTGGAGGGAACTATGTATCTGGATAACGAATACCAATTTAAAAGCTGTGTAATTATGAAACCATGATATCCCCACAGGTCTGAACTCATTACCCAAAACATTGAAAATAACCATTTTGTTTTATAAGCATAAGAATGCACTCTAGGGTGTAGTTCATATAGTGTACACACTTATTGAATGCTTGAAGCATTTAGCTTTTCACCTATTTCTTCACAGCATATTTGAAGCATATGTATATACGACGCATGCAGTTTTTCAAATATCAGTTTTGTGCCATCAGCGTAGTTGTCATTTTATTTATGTACCTACCAAGTGGAATAGTAGTAATGATTTCAGATTCAAGCATGCTGAGAAGCATTTTGATTTGTGTGTCCATTTCCTGGCTCATCAACTCATTCTGCAGGCTCTGAGTTTTTTCTCTGTCACATACCAAAAGGCTGGGTCACCAAACACAATTGGATTGTTTTTTAGCACCAACGCAGAGTGTTTCCCGACTCTTCCCAGCTGGCCAATTTCATCTTGCATGGAACGAACTCAGGGGGTGTGCGCCCTTGCTCCACGCCACCTACAGCGCTTTGTTTCTCACCTACCTAGTGTTTTCTTAGTAAGATTAGTTCTACTGATTAAAGTAGGGCACGGTAGTTGCCAGCAGTGAGTCAACACAGTGGTATCCGAAACATTGCAGTCATTCTCGTGTTGTCCCCAGCATGCCTACCCAGCGCTGCTGGAAAAGCCTGCCTGTGGTGGTATTCATTCAGGCAGCATCCTAGAAACCTTTCAGCATCCCAGCACCTCCAGTACAGCACAGGAGGAGCTTCATAATACCTGGTATCTCCATACCCAGCCTGCCTGAAGCTTTATGCGGTTATTGTCTGCTTTTGTCAATTCACCTGATTACTTTACTCAGCGTCTCAAAATTTTGACTTATTTCTCTCTTTTCTCCCTTCCCTCCCTCCTTTCTTGGCACAACACTGTGAGCAACTTGTCTTTCAACCCAAAGAAATTACCCTCAGCCCATGATTATAGGGTGGCTTTGCTTGTTGCATGTACTGTGTCTTCATTGACTGTTTCTTTCACCTCCTATGTTGCTATCAGTTTGGCTTGACTCAAGCAGGCAACCAGCATGGCCAGCCAACAATATGAGTAACAGTCAAGGGGAGCCTCACTTTTTGGATAGGTTTTGTTCTATTTAGGTCATTCTGCACTAAATTCTTTGATTCACATTTTCCATTCCCATCATGCCTAGCCTTTCTGAGCAGCAATAGGAAATATAACCTTAATAGGATCGTATACATAGTATAAATTAATATTTTATACAATACATCTAAATATATGTTTACGTATGTGTGCACCATCTGTGTCCCTCATAGAGGTATATGCTGCCTGTATCTTTTTATTGTTAGGAGACTTGGGGAAGAAGCAATAGAATTCTTGGCTGGAGCAGGGGAATGTTATGGTTTCATGTTCATATTTTTGCATTTTTGTGACTCAGATAAAAGCTCAGCATGTTGCAATCTGACTTGAACAAAGTCAAGAAAAGCTCTGTCAAGCATTCTGTGAAAAGCAGATTTTTTAAGCTTGAGTGCCAATGATTAGATACTTTTCAACACTTTGTTTTCTTTCAGAGATTAAACCAAAGCTTCCAGAAAAGTATTCTGCTCATGGACCTCAGATTGTCAGTATTCACCGAGTCTATATTCAAACAAGACAAGAGAAGCGCATTAATTTTACCATAGGAAGCCGAGCCTACTTACTTCCAAAAACTTCTGTTGTAATTAAGTGCCCTGTACGAAGGTTCCAGAAGTCACTTATCCGGTGGGAGAAAGATGGACAACACTTACAAAACTCTAAAAGACTTGGCATCACTAAGTCAGGTTCGCTGAAAATACATAGTCTTGAAGCTACTGATATTGGTGTGTACCGTTGTGTTGCAGGCTCTGTGCATGAAACATTTGTACTCAAACTCATTGGTACTGACAACAGATTGATAGAACCACCAAATCTTAGGAAACATGCCAGTGAGACCAGTAACACGGATCACAACGAGGCCAATAGCTTTGGGGCCAAATGGCATAAAATGAGCAAAATGTGGCAGATGTGGAGTAAGAAGAATGAGCTCTATCTGGGTGACAGGCAAGTAAATGATCAGCCATCCCTGAGAAATCTTGAAACCTTTGGGAGTAACTCAGCAGAAGACTTCAGCTCTTGTGAGTTCAAGAATAAACGCCTGGAGGCAGCAATTCTCCAAGGCGCCTACAGCATGGACACTGCGCAGTTTGAAGAACTGATCAGGAACATGAGTCAGCTCATTGAAACTGGAGAAGTCAATGATGACTTGGCATCCCAGGTCATTTATCAATTAGTTGCTGAATTATCTAGGCCCCCACAACCAACTACTGAAAAATGGAAGGGGGCTCAGAATGAGAAACTTGCTGCAAAACTCACAGGCAAATCACCTAATGAATCTGAACGTTTCAGCATGAAAACTGTTGATAAGTTAATGTTTGACCAGAAGGTTCCAGTTATTATGAGGCAAAAGGAAATCCCTCGAGTTTCCTTCAACAAAACAGTAACTGTACGAATTGGAAATACGGTTTTTCTGACCAAGAATACTCATGCTGTCAATCTGCTATGTGAAACAGCTGGTATTAGTGAAGTAAAATATACTTGGACAAAAGATGGCGAGACATTAAAAGCCTCTGAGAAGTAAGTAAATATCTTCTTTTTTATTTGTGAGTGACTTATTACATCATTATCAACTGTAAAAATCCACCCTGCTGTGCAATATTAAAACATAGTTGTAAAAATGAGATAACCATGAACACTGCACTTTCCATCTTTTTATTTAAGTAATTTATTTTTTTTCTTTTGAGTGTCTGACACGTTGTTTGGCTGTACTAAAATCCCAGTGTATGTCCATTTCCACTATATTACGTGGGAGGATTGACGTTTTTTGCTAAGTGAAGTGTTTTGGATGTCCTGCAACAGTATTTTGTGATCTGCCTTAATCATTTCAGCTGCATCAGAAAATGGCAAGATTTATATACTCAGATTAAGAAGCCTATTGGATTTGTTCATATACCAGATACAGTGGGAACACTTCTGCCATTGCAGAGATGAAAAGAAATCTTAATTCTTACTCATTTTAAGGAGGGAAAATATCACTGCTACCATCACCATCCTTCAAGACAGTAAATCTTTAGGTATAACTGTAGCTACATAACTTCAATTTAAAAAGAATGAATGAGCTTTTATGGATTTTTTTTCAACATTTCAGAATTTACAAATATTTCTGTTGAGGAGAGTGGAATACAAAATAATAAAGAACCTGTATTACCATCACATTTGAGAACTATACCTGAAGAACAAGTACAGCAAGTGTGTGTTATATTCACATATTTGCTCAAGACCAAGTAAATACTTTTACTTCATTGCTGATAAATTAGAAGCTCACCTGATAATGTTAACATTAACTTTCTGTGTGAGCCTCTTGGAATTATAGCTAGCTCTTGAGTAATGAAAAAACCTATTCTGAAATGATAAAGGCGCTTTTGGACATTTCTCAACATACTTAACTGATTAACCACACTGCCAAGAAAAATACACTTCTATTGCTATCAGTTAAAGCAAAGACACTAAAACTAAGCCCTTTTTAAAAGTGCAAATGTTTTTGGAACCGTGTAGCTCCCACCAGTTATGTTTATTTTGTGACATACATATAATTTCCCATTAATTTGTTGCAAGTGATACTTTCATTTTTTGGACATGATGGTGTTTTGTTTATTCATGAGTATCTGTTTGATTCCTAATGTCTGCTTTCATAAATTGCCTTCATTTTAGCCCAGGCTGACATTCTTGCACTTAAGGGATACATTGGCAAAGTAGGTTTCTTTCCTATTTCTTTCACAGTGAGGTTTCTTTATACACAATTCCATATATATGTATGTGTATGCAAAAGCATGAGTATTACACCTGAAAAGGAATGTGAGGAGGTAAATGGGCTGTTTATTTGCTGGGTTTGTAAAAGGCTATACCTGAGCCATGCATAAGGTGGCTTGTTTTGTTGAGGCATAAGTATTTTTAATATTTGTGTGTATCTCTTGTGTAAGTGTAGTCGATGTGGGAGAATGCCAGAGCTACAGGGTTTTTTGGACATGATGAGCCTAAGTAACTTACTACTGAGAGAGGTAACAAGGGGGAAAAGTCCAGGCTGCTGTTTTCACCTTCTTCCCCAGCCTGTGATGCTCTCTTTCCTCTCCTGCCCCTCTGATGGCAGGCAAGGTATTCAAGACACCTGTGGGGTTTTGGTGGAAGACTTCAGCTTTAATGATGATAGTATTAAAAAATTCAAACCTACACTAATTTGGAAATCAGATTAGCCCATACATTTGTGAATTCCCCAACCCTGCTGAAAACCAGGCTTGCTCTGGAGAGATGGATTTCTTGCCAAGCCTAATACTTTTAATTGCGGTAGTCTGATTTATTCATGCTGTTTTTCCTGAGGGATTCTGGTTTGTAGTAGCAAACTCACTGTCCTCCAAAGGGCTGAAGAATTTTCCAAGCATTGTGTTGCTTAACGCTCCCCTCTTGTCACCAAAGAAGAGACAGAACTGTTACTGGTCTAGAATGGTGAACTCCTAAAAAGGAGTTTTGCTGCTGTATCTGTAACTCTCAAAGGAAGTTTCAGCTGGGTTTGCCCCAGGGTAGTAACCCTTGTCTCTCCTTGAATGTTCTGCAGGGTGATCCTGGACACCATTGGAAAAGTGCAGATTCAGAATCCTACTCAAAAGGAACTTGGTACATATGGATGCCTGGTGGTTAATGACTTCGGTTTAGATATGGAAACATCATTGCTATTGCGTGCAGGTAAGACTGTAGCATCCACAGAATCAGGCATTTTTAATTTTTTTAAAAATATATAAGCAGCCATCCCCACTTCAGTGTGAAAGAGTTTCTTTTGATGGCAATCAAAGTTCTGCCTGATTTAACAGGTAGCAATAAGATGGCCTTGTGGCTCTAAAACCACAGCAGGTGTGAACTGACTCTGCTTGTATCTATCCCACCTATATTTTTGGCTGCTGGTTTGCAAACTGAATTCTGTTCTAAACATGATGAATTTAAATACAGGATCTGTATTTAAAAGTCAAATAAAGCTTTTAAAACTGATTATCCCTTCAATTTCAAAGAGATTCCTGTCATCTTGTCCTCTGAGTTAAATGTTACAAATGTGGAAGCCAGCAGTCTCTCAGCTGTTGTTGGAGGTACGATCGTGGCAAGAATTGGAGCAAATGTCATGGTTGAATGTCCAGTGAAAGGTAAGCAAGGCCTCACTGAAGTTCCCTGTAATGTTGGAATCAGTTTACCTTGTATCTTGAAAAAAATTACCAGTGAAGGCAGAAGATCATTGATAGCTAGTCATTTTTTATTAGGCACGTCACCCACAGCGGTCCTATTTCTTTTCCTACTGTCACTTTAACTTACACACACGTATATGTTCAAACAGACTTTCCTTTAAAAGTACTTTTCTTTCCATTAAGTGGTCTGAGGCTCCACCACAGAGCTTAAAGCCCACCAGAGTGAATGTCTATCTTGCTGCAATAGCAAGCGTGGCCAGCTGACTTGCTCATCAGAGAACTTTCCTTATCCCTATTTGAGATGCACATATGTCTAGACTATTGTTAAAACTGAAAATGAAATCTCCAGCCATAGCTTAATAGAACTTTAAACCTGACAGTGAAGTAAACTTACATTTTCGGGCCATCAGTCTGCAGCTGCAGTAAGGAAACAAAGAAAAGAGCAGAGCCGTGAAAGCATATAGAAATTTGCTAGCTCAACATCTGTGGAGCAGCATTAATGCTAATCAGAAGCTACATGCATTAAGCAGTTCACTGCTTCATTTTATTTTCTAGTCCTTTGTTGGAAAGGTAGATATTTTCTTTTTAATCTCATCATTACTACTTGTTAAGTTTAAATTGTAAGATTTAACTCACAGCAGCAATATCCTGTCAAATATTTAATAAGCTCAGGTCAGCCTTTTGTGCCTTGTTGAAGAAGATGTAGGAAAGTGCTAATAACAATGAACGTTGCAACTGAGGGTGAAGAGAGGCTTCAGAGGAGTCAGCGTGCTGTTCACATTTGTATTGCTGGAGGAGTGTGTATCAGAACGCGTGTTGATGCTGAACCAGAGTAGTGACAGAAATATATATTTATATGCAAATAGTTCTGCATACAATAGCGGCGCCAGGCTGACATATATTAGGACATGTGGCTCTGCTATTCACTGTTGTACCAAGGCTAATTCTTTGATGAAGTAATATTTTCCAACTATAGTTTGGCAACTCTGTGCATAACTGACCTACATCTCAAATTCAGCAGAGAGTTCATGTCACACTGTTAATATTAATATTGTTAGGATGGGTAAGCAGTTAGCAATTTAAATATAAATTAGTATTTTCACATGGGACTGTAGATTTCCAAATGCTTTAGAATTGTGTATATTCATGAGCCAAACTTTAGTTATGCTAAGACACCAGTGTTGACTTAAAAAATGATTTATCTAATTGCTTTATTTCCTGTCATTGCCAAGGAAGTAAGTATTTCTGTTTGTGAATAAAATAGAGCTTGCATGTCTTAAAATGTCACTAAGCCTGGAAGCAGAAAAACTTATGAAATGATGTAAGCAGAGTTTTTCTGATCTCCTTTCTTAATGAAAAGTAATAAACCACTGACTTTGGAAGATTGAACTTAATAGCACTTTATGCTAATATGTTTGTCTAATAGGTGGGACAAAAATATGTCCATTTGCAGTGCAATAGGATGAGAACTTTGTTGCGAATGCTGATAAAACATGACGTGAATTATCAGACAAGCAAGAGTTTGAATCAGAAAAAATACTAATATTTCTATGCACTCTAAAAGTTTGGTTCCTACAGACAGACAGTGTGAGTCCGCAAGAGTCCTTTTCTCCTCATCAGACATGTTCAAGCAGATGCATCTGATCTGCTGACTCTTCCTAGCCCTCAAAATAGTTCTCAATAAGAACCACTGTCTAATTAATAAGGTGTCTCTGTGTGTGAAGAATATTAGTGCCATGCCACTTGCAGAGTTCTTAAATCACTTTTAAATTTCTTGGCTGCAAAGGTTTCTGAGGTTTTTTTTCGTATAGGCTGGGTAACCTATAGTACCTTTTTATAGCAGTTCAAACCACAGTTTTCTCTGTGAATAAATCTACATATTGAGTTCTACATTCTGTGTCTACCAGTGTAAAGTCTATTCAGGAACTTTCTTTCTGAAACACATACAAAAATGATGTGCATATGCAAAATGGTAAATTAATGGTGCATTTAGGAGAGAATATCACCAGGAGCAGAACTTCAGCTGGAAGTAGGAGCAGCCCACCCAACAATCTGACAAGGGCAGTTGTGAAAGGCAGAGAGGAGGTCATGTTGTAAGGAAAGATGCACTTCCCAGCTTCTACTGCCTGGCTAATGGCTGTACAATGCAGCCCTTAATTATTCAAGGCCTGAAGAGAACCACGTGTATTCCACTTAGGGGGCTCTGGGTTCATTAGGCCATGTTACACAGGACAGCGCTTGTTTGATGGTTTTAATGGAAAGGTCATGAAGTTTAATATTACATACAGTGTTAGCTAGCTGACTAGCTGCTTTTTTCTTCTTTGCTACTGATTTGGTTCATTTTGTCCCTTTGAAAGTCTTTCTTGCACACTCCAAAAATCACATTCAGATTGAAAAAAAAAAAAACCCTTTGAGACGCTAAAGAGCAGTGTATCCTAATAAACAGAAGAACATCAAGGAATAGATTAAGAAAAGCTAGCTGCACTGCTGAAGGTAATAGTATTGATTTCTTTTCCCTTTTTAATTTATAACAAAACTATTTTTCCACTAATTATAATAAACTGACTTTTATAGCTCCCACGCGAGCACATGCTAGAAGATATTCATAACACTCTGGATAGATTCATATTCCATTCTTACAGCCAAGAGCTTTTCAATCAACACACATGGTATAAATATCAATACTGATTGCTCCAAATTACTCTTGGATAACATTTATTGTATTTGCAGAAAAGATCGTCTTGTGATTATTACTAAAATAAACTAAAACTGTCAGACTCCATTTATTGTGAAACCTTGAAAGTTCTCAGTTGAAGGAAAATAGGGGGGAAAAAATTTAGGACAGTGTATAAAATGTGCATTGTCTGCCACCTGCTGGCGGGAGCGTAGGAGGGAAATACACTGAGGTGAGGTGGTTTATACTTGATACATTACACCGCATCTCTGAAATATCTTGGCACAGAGGCTTTTAACAGTAGAAACTCCGTCTTCATCCACATTCTCATTCCTATGAATACATTTTGGCTCTCTAAGAATAACATATTGATAAAAAAATTGTGAGAAATACACAAAACCTGTTGAATCAGGGTCATCTTTGTGCACATACGTTTCACAAAGATGGACCAGCTACTTGCTGTCAGTTTTGGAACTTGAAACAGTTCCAGATAAATCAAGAATTTGATTTTCCATCTGTTCCTTCATTTACCCACGCTATTCCAAGTGTAACTTTGATGCTGTTCTTCGTCTTTTATGCTTAACCCCTCTAAAGACATCTCAGTGAAGAAAAGCAGCAATTTTAATACATAGGATTCTGGATCTTCATTTCTTTTAGGTTTTTTTTGTGTTTTTCTAAAAGATATTAGTAATGGATTTCAAAGGTTTAAAGGGGTAAGTACAGATTTATTTTATGAGGAAGGAATGACACTATTTATAATTAGTATAATAAAAGGAAAGTATTTTGATCTTATGGTTCTTTTTACTATAAGTGCATCTATATTAGAGTTTTTGTTTGGATCAGGTATAAGGCGGAAGGACTGAAAGATTTACTTCAGAAGCTTAATTGGGCTTTGCTTTGTGTCTTGCAACAATCTGCGAACCTGAAAACTGAGTCCCTTTGGATATAACTAAACTGAAAAGTGTGTCTGGGGACTATACCTATTACTTTCCAGATACTAATGGGCAGCAAGTCCAAGGCTCCAGGCAAGATTCACCAAGCAATCCAAAGCAACCCTCACCCAAACACACATTGGGTGTGTTTTGGGACCTCGGTACCATCTGTGTCTGTTTACAAGCACATTCCTGATGCCCTCTGCTACTAGCTGATGTAGATATAGCCTATGGAGTTCATGGGGGAGAAAACTGTGAACTGGAATGCTTTACAGCATTGCTTTTTTTGGTGTGTGTTTCTCCCTTTCTCTCCCAGCTTTCCTTATTTGGGGCAGGGGTCTCCTTCAAATTCCTAATTCAGGAAGGGTTAAGATGGGTTGTGTTAGAGGAAGGTAAAATTTCAGAAGTCTATTAGAGTTCTTGGAATGCTCAGCAAGCATATGGGTATTCCCTCGATATTTTGTACTTCAATTTGCAAAAAGCTGTTAAGAAGTTCCCTAGGCAAAGTTTAACAAATTCTCATAGTTTAAAAGAAGAGGTTAGTTTGTTGGTTAGTACCCAATTAAATGATTGGAAGGAACAAGTCAAATTTTACAGTAGAGGGAGGCTACCGGCAAGGTGCCCAAGACTCTGTTCTGGGATTTGTGATGCTCAACACTTTTACAAAAGTTCTAAAATGAACGTGAACTGTTAGTTGACTGAAGCTGTAAAGTATCAAGGTTTATAAAGGCTAACCGGATCTAAAACTCTTTGCAAAGACTTGCAGCAGGATCACACAAATCATGTTTAATAGCTAAATGAAGGCAAAGGATGTTCAGAATTGATATGTGCAGAATAAATGTACATATAGAACAAATAACCTGAAAAGTAGACACATGCACACGGCTGTACCCTAGTGACTGCCACACAGAGAAAGATTTGTAGGGTCGTGCTGGTTAGCTCTGTGGGAACGCCAGCACACTCCTTGGGTGGTGTCTATAATGGCAAACCAAAACTAATGGCAGAGGAACTGCCAAAAGAATAGAAAATATAAATCAGTCACTGCTTAAAGCTGTGGTGAATCGTGTTTGCAACTTGCTAATCTCATCTCAAAAGGGATATAGTAGTGCTAGAAAAGGTAGAGAGAAGAGCAGTATCAGAGGAAGCAAACGTGATTGTCTAATGCTACCTCTGTTTTTGGAAGCTAGGAAGATACATTGAGGAAGCGTCATTCAATAAATGCCATGATTTTAGTACTCTTTGCCTACACAGCCCCAGGTGCCCATCACTGGACGCAAAGTCCTGAGTTAAGCAGACTTCGGGTCTGACTAAGAATAGCAATTCCTGTGTGCTGCTTTAACTAAGAATAGCAATTC